AGGGAGACGGGGAGGCAGAGGTACTGGCGTTGGGGGGGTGGGGGGCGGGCTCTGGGTTTCCAGGCTGGTCCTGTCCTGCCGATCCTAAGGGTGACATGATTTTCCTGGTCCGGCCTGGGGTGAGGACGGGACTCTCAGTTCAGTCCTGAGTCCCAGCTGTGCGCAGAGCCAGAATCTCCAAACGGAAAGATGAGGAGCCTCCCCCGGTGGCAGGGCCAGCGGGACAGCCCAGCTCTCAGCAGGGGGGGAATCCGGGTTGAACACCTGTTCTCACGACATGGTCTCACATGGCTCCAGAGTCCAGGCTGGCCGCGAGCCCGCTTGGACCCGAGCGTCCAGAGGACGGGTTGTGGTCGGAGCCCATGTGTGACCTCCCCCGGCTGTGTCAGTCACACAGGGGTGGGGGGACACAAAGGAAGGCCCGAGTGACGTCCCCCCATGTAATGTCCCCAAGGCCTCGTCCCATGCTCTTGTTGGGGGACTGCCTGGTCCCCGTGGAGCATCTGTTTCTGTGTCCCCAAAGTACGTCGGAGTCGCTCACCCACTTGTGGACCAGGGCCATAAAAAGCTCCTTTGTTCTTTGTCATTTTCCTGGGGCTGCAGAGGGAGAGGGTCCAAAGGTCAGTGGGACTCCAAGAGCCAGACGTCTGTGGTCTGTGGGATGTTAACACCCCACAGGACTTGGCCGGGCCCTGGCGTGCTGTTCACACCGACTTGGCTTTGGCTTGCTTCCGGGCATTCGGGCCTCACCTTGCGGCGGGTGGCGGTTCTGGCTGTACCCTCCCCCCCCAGCGCCAGAGGCCTCTGTGCAGCCCCGGGCAGGTTTCCTCAGGCGGCCGGCTGTGCAGAGCCACCCCGAGGATGCTCCGAGAGACGGCGAGGACCACGTGGCAGGGCCGTGGGCCTGCGCTGCCTGGGGTGATGCCGGCCAGGGCCAGCCCAGAAGGACAGGTGGAGGTGGCCCGTGGGGCCTGGCAGGGACCCAGGGTCAGGGGAGGGCACGAAGGCTGAGGGATGGGCAGGGAAGTGTTCCGATGCCTGCCACCTCTGACCTCCAAGGGGCGTGGGCAGGGCCCCGCCGAGAATGTGGCTCGTCTCCGGAGGGCTCTGCAGTGTTCTGTAGGTCATGTTGCCTGAGTGAATCTCGCCTACCTGTTACATGAGGAAAAACGGGAAAGATGAGCAGAAGGAAAGATCCCCCTTCTTCCACAGGCAAACAGCAGTCCATGCCGGCTGGTGTAGACCTCGCCCATCTGATTTCATTTTTAATTTCTTTTTAACGTTTGTTTATCTTGAAAGAGTGAGCATGTGAGTGGGGATGGGGCAGAGAGAGAGGGAGAGAGAGAATCCCCAGCAGGCTCGGTGCTGCCAGCAGACAGCCTGACTCGGGGCCCGATCCCACCAACTGTGAGGTCATGACCTGAGCCAAAATCAAGAGTCCCGACACCTAACCCACTGAGCCACCCAGGCGCCCCTGGGCTATTTTAGGTAGAAGCTTTCTTCCCCTTCATTGAAAAAGGACTTCCTGTTCTTTATAAACTTGGTCCCTGACTCAGTGGCACCTGGGACTCTCTGTGCTGTGAGGTGCGTGACAAAACTGTGTCGCAGCCACAGGGTGGCCACACGACCCCAGGCCGGTGTGGCTCTGCGGTGGGCTCCCCGCTTGCAGTGAGCGGGTGGGGCTGATACTTCAGTGGAGGCTCGGGGGGAGGGGCCGGCCGGCTGTGCTGTCCAGTGGGGAGCCCCTAGGCCCTGCCTCCCCAGAGGGGTCGGGGCTTCAAACCCACGTTCTGGAAACCGAGACGGCCTCACCTCTCCCTTTCAGCGTCTGAACAGATGGACGCCTTGTCGCCTCGCACTTTCAAGCATTTTTGCTTGGCGGGATTTCCAGAAGTGAGTTCCCACGGGTGGGCAGCAGCTCAGAGGCTCGGCTCTCCGGGCTGCTTGCTGCCGACATACTTCCAGACGAAGCCCCTCACCAGACACGCACGGCACCAAAGTGTGGGCGTGGAGCCCCACTCAGGGAGGCACTGCCGCCCGCCCCCGGGGTCCTGGCTCTCTCACACCTGGGCCTTCTCTGTCTTGCAGGTTTTGGGATTCGAGATTGACGCGTTGAACTCCGTCCAGTTTTCAAACCACACAGGTAAGGCATTGGCCCCAGCAGTCGCCGCAGAGGGCGTGTGGGCATGAGACGTGGCCTTCAGACATCCGGGGCCCCCACCCCTCATCTGATGGTTGGGAGCTGGAGCCGGAGGGGCCGCCTAGCACGTGAGGGTCGGAGGGGCTGGGTTGGCCTGTCCGGGCGTGGACACCATTAGAGCCTCGGCCCGGCTGCGTGCAGCCGAGCCACCCGGGACCTGAGGCGGGCTGGTGTAGCCGCTCAGCCCCTCGGTCTCCTCTGAGACGAGGTTGGGATCCTGGCACCTGCTGCGGGGCCCTGACCTCTTCCAGTGACGTGACACCGCGGGCCGCGAGCGGGGCCCCGCGTGTGCGCGTGCCGCTTGTGGGTGCGTAGGTGGATCCTGATTTTCTCTGTTACGAACCCACGCCTCGGGGGCCCGTGTGTCGTCTGTGTCAGCACAGAGGGGACCCCAAGGACTTCTGCACAGAGGCCTTGAAGCAGAATCGCCGATTCAAGGGCATGCGAGGGTCGCAGCCCTCAGAAAGGCTTCCTGAACCCGCTCCCCACGCCCCTGGCTCCATGAGGGGGGAGGGCCTGTCCTGTGACCCCGCAGTGCCGTCGCAGCAGGGGAACGAGGCCACTCCCTTCCTGGAAACATCTCAGTGTCGCCTCTTCTGAAGTTACTCTGAACCCGGATGGAAGCTCAGGAGTACGGAACGTCCCAGAAGCTGGCAGTGCGCCAGCAGGGTATGCGGGTGGGCACCTGGGCCTCAGCCCACGCTCTTAGGAAAGGTTGCCTGTAATTCTCCTGGTGTGGCTTTTCTTGGAAGGGGTGGGGTATCATGAGTCACATATCGAGGGGAAGAATGACGTTCGGGATTCGGAAGGAGCCTGTGGTTCTTATGGACAGCCCTTCCGTTGCGGCTTTGCTGACCGTTCTGGGTCCTGTGGATTTGGAGAAGCCTCCAAAACGTTTAAGTCGACTCAGTGAACTTCCCTGAATCCCACGTGCTTTATTGGCCGTTGTAACCACCTTCCCTTTTGTTTGTTTATTTAAGTAAACGAGCCAACTGCCTTGGACACTGAACGTTGGAATTGAATTTCTTGCTGCACGTAGCATTTTGACATAAGCAGCATTAGTTCAACATAAACACAGACCTGGCTCAGAAACTTCCACCCTTTGCACAGACCCCGGCAGAGGGGAGGGGGCTTCTAGGGCCTCCGTGGCCAGTGGCTGCCTTCTGGGCCCCCATACAACTCTTCAGGTGCTGGCAGACTGCCCGTCCCGAGGGGTCCAAGACTGAGGGGCAGATGGAGGCCAGACCCTGGAGTGCTGGGAGCCCACGTTGCTGCGGGGTGTGGTCGGGCCAGGAGAGGGATGAGGGGCTTCACCTCCTGTGGTCCCTGGCAGGGCCCCCACCCCAGCCTCCAGATGCCGTGCGGCGCCTGCCTGGCGAGGGGACCCCCGGGGCCTGGGAGTGACTTGGAACACCCCGTACTTGGACACACAGGGCTGTCGTGGGTTCAGTCCTGGGCTTTGTACCCGGAAGTACTTGGGGTGTTTTTTTATTTTTTGTTTTCACCTCTTTTCAAAGTGTTTCTCTTTCTCTCTCTCTTTTTTTCTTTTTTTTTTTTTTTTTTTTTTTTTTTTGAGCAAGAGAGAGCGTGTGAGTGAGCAGGGGAGGGGCAGAGAGAGAATCCGAAGCAGGCTGCACGTTCAGCTGGGAGCCCAGTGCAGGGCTTGATCCTGTCGACCCTGGGATCACGACTGAGCCAAACTAAAGAGTTGGATGCTTAACCAACTGAGCCGCCCAGGCGGCCCCAGAAAGCTCTTCCTTTCTTAAATAACGTCTCTGTCCGGTATTTACGTGCCGTGGAATCAGGTCACCTATTTACGTGTATCGCTCGCTGAATACAAGCACACTCCCAGAGGTTTGCACCGCTCCAGCGGGAGCCGTACCTGTCCCTCACCCTTGCCCTCTCCTCCTGGCGGCTGGACCGCTGTCCCACTTTCTGTCTGTGGATGTGCCCCTTCTGGAGGTTTCCTACACGCAGAACCCTGGGGTAGGTGACTGTTCGTGTTCTCCAGGCTCGTCCACGCGGCGACAGGTGTCTGTGCCCCGCTTTAAGGCTGGCGTAGGGATACACCACGCCTCGCTCGTGCGTCCGTTCACTGATGGACGCAGGTTTGTGAGTCGTGGCTGTCACGAAGGTTGAGGCTGTGAGCATCCGTCTGCACGTACTTCTGGGGACCATTTCCCCGTTTTTCCCAGATAGATACCCCCAGAGGCACAATCGCTCGATCGGAGCGTAACTCTGACCGCGTGAACGGCCACCAGTCTGTTTTCCACGGTGGCTGCGCCGTCCTGTCCCTGCCAGCGGGGTGGGAGGGCTCCCCTTTCTTCGCATGCTCATCAGCACGTGTCGTCTGACGCGTCTGCTTTTTTCATCCTAACCGTCCTGGTGGGTGTGACGCGGGATCTGTTAAAAAAACGAAATTCGACTGAGTACACTGGAAGGCCTACTTGGTTTTGTTAAATGACTCGTGAATTGGGCGGCATCCCATCTGGAAAGTAGAGGGGGCTCTGCCAAGCTGAAGGAGAAAAAAAGGCTTTTAAAGACAGAGAGAGAGCATTAAAAAAAAAAGAGAGAGAGGAATTTATCAGCAGCGAATGCCTTGGGTTTAGGCAAGGTTGCCCTTCCGAGGGGAACAGAACGGGTCCATCGGTAAGTTTCCCAACATTGGCCAGGAAATTCCACGCTGGCCAGCTAAAGGCTCCACTCCAGAGTGGAAGGTGCAGTTAGGTATTAGGTCTTGGTGTACTGACGTGGGGCGTTAATGGAAGACACCCCATTTCGGGCCTGTTTTTCTTCAACAGAGCTCGTTACGGTTCGACTCAGAGATGACTCTTAACATGGAGGCCACAGACACCCCCCCCCCCCCCCCCCCCCCGGCCCCAGGAGTAGGGTTTGGTACATTTCTACCCTGTTACGGGCAGATAGTGAATAATGGAGGCTTTGCAGCCTCGGCTGCCTCTGCGCGGCGAGAGCCGCGAGGGACCCCATGTGCAGGGCTGGGCGCGGCTGAGCTTCGGCAAAACTTCAGCTTCCTTCGTGGACACGGAAAATGGGATTTCATGCAATTTTCACAGGTCATAACGTATCACTCCTCTTCCTTTCGTCTCCACCATTTAAAATGCAACCTGGCTTGGCGGCGCAGGGTCAGTTGGCGTCCGACTGGCTCAGGTCAATGACCAGCAGGTCCCAGGAAAGTTCGAGCGCCTCCCCGCTGGCTTCCTTGTGCTGACCGCTGAGCCTGGAGCTTCCCCAGATTCTGTGCTCCCCTCTCTCTGGACCTTCCCCTCCCCATTCATGTTTGCTTTCTCTCTCTGTCTCAAAATGAATAAATCTAAAAAAAATTAAAAAAATAAAAATAAAATGTGTAAAACCTATTAGGCAGGAGAGAGAGGGCGCAGCAGAAGGCCAGGACTTGCCCATCGGGCTCCCCTCGCTTTTGTGGGACCCCTGCCCTGGGTTCAGCTGTGCCGCGCCTCTCAGATGCGCGGTAAAGCGCAAGAAGAACCTCCCTGAGGCCTTGCTGCTGAAAAAACTTCTGAGGCGCGCGTCGGGCCCGCTACCAAACACCGACTCACGGGCTGGCAGGGCCTGAGAATTAACAATCTGCATTGCAGACAAGCCAGGGTAAGGTGTGGGTGCCGCTTAACGCCAGAGACCACTGGGATGGAAGTGGGAGAGTATACAAAAGGTGGGTGTGCTTTGGGGAGTGGATGCTTTGGAGCCTGGCAACGGAGGCTCATTCCTAGGGCTTAGGGATGACCTCCCTCAGGTGCCAGGGGACCTCCCAGGACTCAGCACAAAGAGCCAACACAGCCCAGGGTAAAGGCCTGTGGGAGAAGTCAAGCATCAGGAACACAGTCCAGAGCCAGCTTAGGACCAGGGCAGTGGGTCAGCTGCAGTAGGGGGCCCACTGCGGGTAGGGGTCCCTGCATGGCGGATCTAACTCAGGGGAGGCCGGGCAGTCCTGCTCACCACGCAGCCTGGAGCTTAGGACTTCACCTGGGCACCTTAGGGCCGGGAGCCTGGCCGGAGCCTCCTCCTACTTCACGCTTGGCTCTTTTGGTCACTGACCTGGGCTGGCCTTGGTGGCCTCAGTCTTGTAGGGTTGGGTTGGCAGGACGCCGCCATCGCACGTCTGATGGGGGGAAATACAAAGACATGGGGCTGGTGAGTCAGGCCGCCGTGGACTCCAAGGGGCTACTGGCCACAAGGTGCAGCAGGCTGTGGGAAGTGTCTGTCTGGCTCCACACAGGCTGCCCAGGCCAGGGGCTGGAGCTGACCGCCCGCTGCATTGGGTTGACTGGAGGGGCTGGCAGCCGGAGGGGCCTTGAGCTGGGGCAGCACGAGAGCCGGGCGGCAGCCAGGGGGGGCTTGAGGTGCACGGTGTCCGGGGACTCCACCAAAGCATGGCACCATCGAGGGTCAGGAAGCGAAAGTGTTCAATGCAGCAGAGTCGGCCAGTCGGGGAAGGTCATGGTTACCACGTAGGAAGCCTCCTGGGTGTGTCGCAGGCTCCTCGACTGTCCTGCTTCTCCCCCCAGGCTACTCCACACTGGAAAGGTCATGTTGGAACTCCAATGAACTCCAGGATAAAATGGCACTGAAGCTGGAACAACGAATAAATATGACTCATGTGCTCACGTAGCAGCGTGTCCGGGGAGCTGGGTGTTGGACCCGTGGCCTCATCCGGGTGGGGCTTGGGCTTGGGGAGGACTACTCGGCTCCACTCTGGCCCCCTGCCTCCTTCGAGAGGACAGATGGGCTGTGCCAGAACTTGGTGGTGCCTCAGACTTGCCGCTGCCTCCCAGTCATGGGTGAGTTCTTGGATGCCCAAATTCATGGTGCTGTCTCAGATGAGCCAGAAAGTTAGTTTCCTGGGACCTGCAGGGTCGGAGGATAATGGGGCTGGTGAAAAACACCCAGGTAGGCAACTTGCTGGCCACTACTGGCACATTTAATTCGAGTCACCTGTGAACGGGTAAAATATTTGCTCTGCATTTATATGTCGAAGTGAAGTGAATGTACTTACTATTGAAAACGAAAAGAGGGCGCTTGGCATGGCTTATAGAATGGTTGTTGTCCTCACCAGCCAGGTCACGCCATGGTCTGGGAGTTCGAGCCCATGGCTTGGCTTTCAGTTGGCTGATGGCTCCTGAGCCTGAGCCTGCTTCCATCTCTGTGTCTCCCCTGTCTCTGCCCCTCCCCCTGCTCATGCTGTGGCTCCCCTCTCTGTCCCAAAAAATAAATAAAACGTTGAAAAAAATTAAAAAAAAAAAAGAAAACGAAAGAGTATGTCTGTCTAACTGCTGGAGACTGACCCCTCGGGACCAGGTCGCACGGATCTCATGGTCTGTCAGGAGTTCAAGCCCCGTCGGGCTCTAAAGTCATGCAATGCAGAACTGGAGCCTGCTTCGATTCCATGTCTCCCCCTCTGCCCCTCAGCCACACTATGTCTTTCTCAAAAAATAAACATTAAAAAATGATTTTTTCTAAATAAAATGGAAAAGACAAAGAAAACGTTTCTTTGTACACCTATCACTCATGGCTTTTTTTCCCCCTTCGCTTAAAACTTGATGGGGCACCTAAGGGATCAGCCAGTTGAGCTGACTCTTGATTTCGGCTCAGGTCACATATCCTCATGGTTGAGACCCCCCTCATCGGCTCCATACTGAGTGTGGGATTCTTCGTCTCTGCCCCACTTGCATGTATGCACTCTTCTCAAAAAAAAAAAAAAGATTTAAAAAAAATAAAATAAAACTTTGACTTTTACTTTGGGAAATGGTTTGTTATGTCCCCTCATTATAGATATTGAGGACACTTTGTCTTAACCAGTCACAGGATCTGAGAACTGCCTGCTCAAGAGCAGAATGGGCTTTTTTCTGGGTTATTTTTTAAGTTTATTGAGAGGAGAGCCGCGGCGCTGAGCCAGGAGCAAGGAGGGCAGAGAGAATCAATCCCAAGCAGGCTCTCTGCTCTGTGGAGTTCCCCACGAGGCTCCATCCCCACGTGACGGCAAGGTCACGGCACCTGAGCTGAGATCAGGAGTCGGACACTAACCAACCGAGCCCCTACTTCCCCCCGGGCAGGTGGTTTGGTGGTGCTTTTTCTCCTGGGCTGCCAGATGGGAGCCTTCTGGATGAGGGTGGCTGCAGGCGCCCCCCCCCCCCCCCCCCACAGGCTACACGAGACAAGTCCTTCCTGGCCCCGGGTGGTGGTGGACATCGTGGGCGTGGGAGCTGAAGCCGCGTGGAACTCCCCGGGGCCCGTGGCACGGTAGGTGCCGGGCTTTTCCCGCAGGCACGCCTGGGGGCTGCCCTGTCCAGTGGGTTGACCCGGGAGTGGGGCTCACCTCCTTCCTCCGCCTCTGTCCCGCCTCCTGGAAAGCTCGAGCTCTGGGAAGGGGGTCAAGAATGTCAAACCTCACGGGTGACCCCGGCAGAGGAGAAGTGTAGTACAGGCATAATGCGCAGCTTGTCATCCTGGTGGTTCATCACGGTGCCCGTGTGTGTAGGTTGGGGGGGCTGGGTGGCCACACTTGACCCCTGAGAGGATGGGGTGGATGTGCATGTCGTGGGCGGCGCCTGCCCAGGGAGGGGCGGGGGTGAGGTGATGGTGGACACCCAGCTGGGACAGAGCTGAGGCGCACGCCGGGCCTGTCCGCCTGTCCGTCCCACCCCCCGGGGCTGCAGCGCCAGCCCTGAGCGTGTCCCACACAGAGGCCTCTCCGGGCAAGACACACGTGGGACGGTTCGGTTACTCTTTCCCCTCTGGGACTCAGACGTGCACATTCAGGCCTCTGCAGGGTCCGACCACGTGTGACACTTCTTCCATCCTGGCCTGACGTGTGGGTCCCCCCGTCGCGAACGGTAGCTGGGTTCGGGGGCCCCTGCGGTACCGGTGCGTCGTTGCTGCCTCAGCCGCGCAGACTCGGGGGCCTTCCCTGAGGCGCGGGCCTCCCAGGTGTCCGCACCGGTCCCCACCCTCAGCTGGCCTCACGGCAGGTCCCACACGGCACGTGGACCGTCGTGGGAAGGGAACGTGCTTGCGTGGGGGCCAGAGGGAAAGGGGATGCTGTTCTGTGCCACACTCTCGAGAAAGGCGCAAACAAACGATTGTCAGAAATCGATCACAGTAGTTGGCCTCGGACCACAAATGTGGAATCCAGGAAACGAGGATCGGCCGCACACGCGAAATTTAACAGCAGAAATAAACATTAAGCATCCTCCTCTCGGGAGCCTCACCCTGTGCTAACAGATGCCCTTTCTGCCTCCGCAGTGTGCGACCCCGTGATGGGCGACAAATGGAACGGCGAAGGCTCCATGGTTAGTGATTTCAGGCACGTTAATCCAAGTGCACACGTCTCGCTGGGCGAGACACCGCTCTGGGGGTGCACATCATCCTTGCCGGGAAGCGGGGTCGGCAGACGAGGTTTTCTGTAAAGGGCCAGAGAGTAGACGTTTGGGGCCATACGTCTCCTGGTTCAGGCTTCTGGTGGAGCCTGCGACTCTCAATCTCAGGGTTGTGTGTTCGAGCCCCATGCTGGGTGCAGAGATGACTTAAAAATAAAACCTTGGGGGTGGGAGGGAGGGGAGGGTGGGTGATGGGTATTGAGGAGGGCACCTTTTGGGATGAGCACTGGGTGTTGTATGGAAACCAATTTGACAATAAACTTCATATATTGAAAAAATAAATAAATAAAATAAAATCTCAAGAAAAAAGTAGTCACAGTCTGCAGACAAACGGACACGGCTGTTTCCTAATAAAATCCTACACACGGACCCTGAAATCTGAATTTCCTGTAGTTTCTGTGTGTCACAAATGTTCTTTCTTTCCTGTTTCCCCCTTAGCCGTGTCTTAGCAGACGGGCCATAGCTTACCCCCCCGACTAGTGTAGGGTGGGGTGCCGTCAGTCCGCTGGTAGGAGTCACCCCGTGGCCAGCAGGGGAGCTTGGCGTGTGGGGCACGGAGGGCGCTGGCCCCGGCCCTACCCCAGGACCCCGGGGCCTTCGGGTGAGCGCGTGCCGGCCTAGCCGCAGGGCACCAGCGTCTCGTACCCGCGGTGGGGCTCACGGCGGGGCTCCGGGTCTCCAGCCTGGACCGCGGGGCTCTCAGCAAACGCTCGCTGGCCTCGTTCCCTCTGCTGTACGCGTCAGCCTGTGTCCCTGTCGCCCTCTAGTACGTTCCGGAGGACCTCCTTCCGGTTTACAAAGAGAAGGTTGTGCCGGTAGCAGACATCATAACCCCCAACCAGTTCGAGGCTGAGTAAGTAACTTGCAACCACGGAAGCTTTCAGATCTCCCCATGGGGAGGGCTGTTCCGGAGCCGGTCAGGCCACTGAGGCCCTCCTCCCGAAGTCCTGCCTCAGGGGGTGGGGGGCAGGCCATTCTGAGTGGGGGGCCAACCCGGTGCCCTGGCCCGATGACGGTGGGGGTGGTTATTTTCACCCTGACTTCCTGTGGTCATGCTGACCCCCAGCCGTTTTCCCCGAGCAGCACAAGCCTTTGGGGACAGAAAGGGGAGGGGCTGAGGGCATATGTGGGTGACACCGGCCATGGGATGGGGATCCCACGCCACCTGATGCAGGCGGCCACCTGGAGCTCCAAAACCCACGTGGATGTCGGTCACCCTCACTGGCCACTAAGTGCGGCTGTGTGCTGCTGTCCCTTGCTGCTATTAAATGTTACCCCTGACTGGTCCTTGGGGCCATCACGGGGCCAGCAGACACTGAGTTCCTGTGGGGATGGGAGGGGGTCCCCGGAGCCACCGGAGCTTCGGAGATGTTTCCAGCAGGACCCAGAGAAGCAAGGTCTCACCCGCGCTTCATCTGCCTTCCAGGTTACTGAGCGGCAGAAAGATCCACAGTCAAGAAGAAGCGTTAGCGGTAAGGAGACCTTCCGAGGCCTGGCGTGGGACAGGTGTACCGCTCGTGGTGGGGAGGGGACAGCCACATGCCCTCGGGGAGGGGAGATGGGCACCCCAGGTGGGCAGCACCCCAGCTCCCAGCCAGCCGCCCGGTGGGGCCTGAGGGACGTGCTGTAGATTCTGTCTTAGCCACTGGGTCGGGCAGCTGCAGCCACAGTGCTTGTCTGGGTCCGCGTAATCCCCCGCCTGCTCTGCGCACTGCGGCTGTCCCCGTGGGAGCTTCCCGGGGCGTCCGTGACAAAGTGCCACAGACCGGGTGGCTGACAACAACACAAGTGCGTTCTGTCCGGTTCTGGGGGCCGGAAGGCCAAGATCGGGGTGTCGGTGGGACTGTCTTCGGCCCAAAACCTGCAGGGAGGCACCCATTGCTTGCCAGCCTCCCAGCTTCCGGCAGCCACTGGCCATCCTTGGCGCCCCTGGGTTTGTAGACCCGTCACCAGCCTTTGCCTGTGTCTTCAAGGGGCCCCCGCGGTGTGTCTGTGTCCTCGTCTTTCTTGCTAAGGGCGCCAGGCAGATAGGACCCAGGCCCACGCTAGTGACCTCGTCTCAGCTCGAATCTACACGGACCGTGTTTCCTTTCGAGGAAATCAGAAACGCTCGGAGGTTCTGGGCTTAGGGTTCCAGCGTCCGTCTCGGGGGGACACAGTTCAGCCCGTGGCGGTCACGGCATTTAGTGAGTGCTTGCTGTGTGCCAGGTACCGTGAATCCAGCTTGCCGGGTGCGGCTCTCCCGCGCACCCGTGACCTGTGTGTCTGCGGAGAGGCAGGGGCCGGCCCTCCAGACGCGCTCACCACCACCCCAGCCTATGCACGGTCAGAGAAGCAGGGATCAGAAATGGCCAGTCAGGGTCCGTCCGACACCAGCGAGAGGGAGTGCGCGTGTGCCCATATGTGGGGTGGTGTGCGTGTCTGGGCACACGTGTGCAAACGCCTGTGTGCGTGCATGCGTGCATGAAGAGATTTATGGCCAGGAGCTGGCTCACACCTTTGGGGGTTGGCTGGGCACGTCTGGAAGCCACAGGGCCCGCTGACGGGAGGGACGGCTGGAAGTGAGGTAGGCAAGGTTTCCTCTCCAAAGCTCTTCAACTTTCCCCTGTAGAACTTGTTGCCTGTCTGTCGTTTAACCTCTCACGTGGAGTCCTGGGCCACGTGTCCCAGCAGCAGACCCGGGTACCGCACACCAGGGCCCTCGCCCCGTCATGACGGGGCCTCATCAGGCGCGCATGCTCTCTCCATCATCCAGGAAACAAATCCGAGCGCCAGGTCTAGTCCTGGCCACACCCGGGCCCGAGGGGCTGTGGGGCCTCTGTTTCCCCAATGTGCAGAGGGCTCACTGTGGCAAGGGGAAGAGGATGCCCTCCTCTCTGCTCTGAGGGTCTCGCTCTGAGATGGGACAGTACCCGGGGGCCTCAGAGTCAGGTGACACCGGGACAGGAGAGCAGGTGGTCTGGGGTCACAGGTGACCCTCCTCTGCTGTGTGTCCGTGTGCTCCGAGGACTGCAGGGCATTCCCGGTGTGTGCCTGTGTGGTGCCTCGTGCAGGGTGGGGGCCGGGTAGGAGACACGCTCCACGTGTGTGGCAGGGACACGTTTCCCACAGCCTGCCCCAGACTCTGGAGTGGAGGGTGCCTGCCGGCACGGTCACCAGCCCAGCTCTGAGGCCCTTGTACAAGGAGGGAAGGAAAAGCCACTTGCAGAAAGCTTGTTCCTCGTCACGTGACCCCCTGGCCTGTCTTCTCCCCAGCCCACAGGCCCCAGGCTGACGAGGGGGGGACGTAGCCACGTGCTGGGACTCGGGAGGCTTCTCCTGGGCCGGGGAGCCTGACTCGGGGTCCACACTGGGCCAAGATCAGACGCTCTGAACGCCTACGCACGCTTCGGGGTCCATACGAGAGCCTTCCCAGCTTCCCACAGTGAGCCGTGCAGGGTGGGAGGCCCGCGGGGCTTAGCTGGCGTTGCCCCCACGGAGGCGAGAGGATCACCCCTCTCCGGTGTAGCTGGTGCTCTCCCGAGCCCCCGGTTTGCCCAGCGGGTGTTTTGTCCCAACGTGTGTGTCGTGGGAGGCCGGGGAGCCTCCAGCCGCCAGCGTGTTGCTGGGCACACAGAGGGAGAGCTTCATTGAATGAACGAGTGAGGGAACAAGTGGCTTCCCAGAGTGGACAGGACGTGACAGCCTGATGGTGGGCCTGGTTTTGCCGCCCTGGAGCCAGATGAGAAAGGACAGCCAGTCTGGGGCCTGGTTGACGCCTTCCTCTGGAATGTGGGCACAGGAAGAGTGTGGGGCCCGGCAGGTGTGCTCGTGGGAGGGAATCGGGGTGGTGGCTCTAAGCGGCCAAAGCTGCCACTCGGCATGCCCGGGCTGGCGGGGGGCAGGCGGGACCCGGGCGCCACTCCTCGTGTTCTCGGCCTCTGGTGTCCACTCTGTCAAGTCAGACCCCGTAGAAGGGCGTCCTCCCGCCGGTCGGACCTGACTGCTCGGGCTGCTGGGAGCCCTGGCGCAGGGGTCCGCGGCGTGGCTGACGCAGTCCTGTGCTCCGGCAGGTGATGGACGTGCTGCACGCCATGGGCCCCGACACGGTGGTCATCACCAGCTCTGACCTGCCCTCCCCGAGGGGCAGCGACTACCTGATCGCGCTGGGGAGCCAGAGGATCCGTAAGTCCTGCGACCCTGGCTCCCTCCTGCCTCTTCGCCGCGGGTTCCTGGAGGCCTCCCTGGCTTTAGGCTCCGTAGGGAAGAGAATTTGGGCCTCACTCAGCAGGCGGTCGGTTTCCTGAACTCCTGTCACCCCCTAAACACACTGAGAACAGAAACCGAGAGAGGGTTCTGTGAGTCGAGGTGTGGGAGGCCTCCCCGCGGTCACCGAGCGGCGAGCTCTCGGTACCCATGACATGCCGTCGGCTCGAGGAGAGCATCTGTCTTACAGGCTCAGGGTCACGTGGATGGCCCGGCTAGGGCCCGGGGCTTGGGGAACCAGGCGTCCACACCGTCCCCTCCCACAGAGCCGGGGGCGCCTGTGCGGCCTCACCTGTCGACTGTCGGTTCACGTAAATACCGCCTGGGTTGGTGTTTCCTGCGGGGTGCTGAAATGACACAGGAGGCTGGGGTCACACCCGCTGCACCAGAGAGCACGGAGCTCTCTCACCACTCCCTCTGTGTCTTCGAGAGAGCATGCCCCTGTGCACAAACCCATGCACACACCTACGTGCACACCTACGTACCCTCGTACATGCATACCCATGTGCCCCTGTGCATACCCGTGTACCCCCGCGCATACCCCTGTGCGCTCCCATACCATTTCATTAAGCTCACGGCCCCCACGGCTATCGGTGCCCTTGTTACTGCGCCGGACTGGGGCTCCCTCCGCACCCGGTCACACGTGCTGGTCCCTCACGCCCAGCTGTGCGGTTCTTCTCTCCCCGGGCCATCCTGCTAGGGGTTCTGGCGTCTACTCCCTCCCTTGTGACAGGCGACACTAGCCCTCCCTGCCACCATGCAGGGGAGGAGCGGGGAGGGGGGCAGGCTGGCTCCCAGACGAGCGGCTCGTTCTCTGCTGGCCCAGGGTCTCGGGGCCCATCGGCTGTGCTCTCCTCCAGGGAACCCCGATGGCTCTGTGGTGACGGAACGCATCCGGATGGAGATGCACAAGGTCGACGCGGTCTTCGTGGGCACCGGGGACCTCTTTGCCGCCATGCTCCTGGCATGGACACACAAGCACCCCAACAATCTCAAGGTCAGCAGGATGCGCCCCCGCCCTGCCCCCATCGGGGACCATCTGGGTTCTGCGGGGGCTCAAACAGGCCACCCGTGTACCACACGCTGGAGTCGGCCTGTCGGGCCGTGGAGCAGGTGTGAGCCCCGGGAAGGCAGAGCCTGGGAGGGGTTACCGCAGCCTCGGTAGGTCCGGAACTAGGAACGTCTCCCAGAGAGCAGCCCGGTGAAAGTTGGTCCTAAGATGTCATCGCCCTGGTGAGTCGAGAGACTCAGAGGCTGGGAGCCCCCTCGGGGGCGTGAGGGACAGGGCTCCGAAGTCAGACTTGCAGAGGGGCTCAGCTCTTGTCAGGCACTGTCTGCGCGTCTGTCCGTCCCTCCCCCATCCCTTGCTTTGTGTGTAAACGTCCACAGATGCGTTTGTACGGAGATAAAGCCATTGTGTGCGGGCTCTGCTGGGCAAGCAGATACCTTGCTACCGATTCTGTCAATGGGGGTGTGGGGTGGCGGGGGCCGCGTGCCCCCGTGGTTAAGCTCCGGAGTGATGGCTGCGTTCTGCACGGCGTGCGGGAAAGTTCCTTCGTGACGTCAGATCGTGCCGTGGCCTCCTTCAACGTTGTTGGAACCACGCAAGTGGACAGCTGTGCACGAGGCTGTCCCCGGCCCCTCTGTTATTTCCTTCCCCACTTACTTGGTGGCCGTCAGGGCCTGCCTCCCGTCTCTAGAACGTGCTCGGGAAGGGCAGCTGTGCAGGGTGGTTAGAGAGGAGCCACGCCCCCGTCTGTGCTGGGTCCACCGAGGGAAGGAGGAGCCCTAGGTCGGGATCTGGAAGTGGATGCCCCTAAAGCTGCCTCTACCCGCTGGAGGCTGGCACGCCTCTCCCATCCCATCAGTTAGCTTGTCTGTGAGACGCAGGGCTGGACCGGAGCCCTGCCCCTCTTACCTGCCCCCCCCCCTCCCCGCCAGGAACCAGGGGGAGCACAGACCTGCTGTGTCCTTGCCAGCCCCCCCTGCCCCCCAGGGACCAGGGGGAGCACAGACCTGCTGTTGCCGTTGGCAGCCGTGGGATCTTCATCTGGTACAGGGCACCTTGGCCATCTGGTGCGCAGTGGAGACCTTGCTGCTGGGCCACCTGAGGCCAAACCGGGTTCGGCACGTCCCCGGGTCGGGCGGGAGGGGGTTCCACTCGCTTCCCCGGCTCTTGCTAAGCCCCGGGTCTTTGACTTTGAGGTGCCAGTAAGCAGTGACCTTGGCCAACTTTGGGGTAGGAGTCATTTTTGACGAAGACTCTTTATAACTAATTCCTTCCAGAAACACCTATTAAGCGTCTACTGCACGGCAGACAGTACCGAGGAGTGCTAGAGCCCAGCCCTCCCCTAGAGGGCACGGTCTGGAGGAAGGTGGTTAGTTTTAGCACGCAGGCATCTGCTCAGCTCTCCAGGGAAGGTTGATGGGGAGCATGTGACGGTAAAGCCAGTGCCCTGCTATCTCGGGGCGGAGGCAGGGTCTGGGTGAACGGAGAATCCCATCCGGGCCCTGGGCAGCACCGACCACATGTGCGCATCTCCCGCCCTGCAGGTGGCCTGTGAGAAGACCTTGTCGGCCATGCATCACGTTCTGCAGCGGACCATTGCATGTGCAAAAGGTACCTCCTGGCTGGGCCCCCGAGCCCACCAGCGGAGGGGGCAGGGGGACTGCACTGAGAGCAGAGCGGGGAGGAGACGGCAATGAGAGCAGAGGGGGGAGGCGGGAGGGAGGGAGCCGACGGCGGGGTCCCGAGGCTCCCTCCGCCTCTGCTAGCCTGCGGAGCTCGTGCCCCACACGGGAGCCCCAGAGGGGACACGGACCATCAGGGCTCAGGCGAGGGAAGGGGGCACGAAACTGGAGTGCCTTCTGGTCTGTCCCTGTCACCCACGCTTCGTCTTGCAGCCCAGGCAGGGGGAGGACTGAAGCCCAGCCCGTCGCAGCTGGAGCTGAGGATGGTCCAGAGCAAGAAGGACATCGAGAACCCGGAGATCGTGGTCCAGGCCGCGGTGCTGTGAGGGCCCGCGTGCCACCTCCCAACGCACAGCGTGTCGGTGTCTCCATCGTCGTCCCTGTGAAAACGTAGCATCTGCCTTAGAGCCGTGACCGAAACTTGATATTTTTTTCTTTCGTGAGTGTCCAGCCTCAACCGGTCTTAATTGTGAAAACGTGCTGGTCGTGCTTTTTAAAAGTCACAAAGCGATCACAGAAATCTGTAATTCTGGGAACCCAGCTCCCTGTCCCCCAGGGCTCCTGGGCCTCCCGGGAACCCCGCTCCCCGTGGGCCCCCCGGCGGCGTCCCATCCCTGGCGGGCGAGGGCCGGGGAAAGTCCTGGAGTCTGTGCGTCCCTGAGGAAGAGTTGGGTTTTAACCATCTGCGTCTGGGCGAATCCTGCCAAATGCCTCTGTTGTCGTTGTGACCCGACCCCCTTTGTTCCTGCTTGAGAAGTCTCGTTTGTCACCTAGCTGTGGGGTAGGTCGCCAGGGACTGTGTCACTGCAGGAACAGGTCGAGACCAGCTGGCCCAGACGCGCACCGGGGATGAGGAAGGGCTCCCGAGGCTGGAACAGCCCGTGGCGAGACTGGCCCGTTGTGTTCCTGCCGGAAACCTCACCTGGTCTATGGCACGCCGGGTTACGTCTGCGCGCTTGCCACCCTTGGCTGGCGACAGATGCCTCGTGCCACGTGGTTGTGCAGAGACGGGTAGAGGGCCGTGGATACCATTGGCATATGTAACCCCACGAGCCAGTCACCCTGTGCGCTCGCCCCTGCCCGCTCAGTCCTGCCTTCCGTGCCACCGGAAGCCAGGGGGCGTGAGGCCCCCTGAAAGGCAGCCACAGCTTGAGCCCCTTCTCCGAGGAGAGGGTGTTGGCAGATCGGGGGAGGGGCCGGGGCAGAGCGCCGGGCTAGCAGCTCTCAGACGCCTCGGGCTGCGACACCAGGCCAGGTGTCTACTGCCCGGGGCACCCCCAGGCGTGGCTGCAAGCGAGGGTGCCCCTCTCCGCGCCGCCTGGGGGAGAGCAGAGGTCTGCCTCCCCCAGGAGCCTGCGGCCGGGAGGGGACAGAGCCTGCAGAGTGGGGGGCCCCCTCCCCGTCCCACAGGCGGGTCCTCTCCTGCAGCCCGCGCTCTCCTCTGCAGCAGGGCCAGTGTCCCCAGGATCCACTGCCACCTCCCGGGTAGGGCGGTGTTCACTCTGTTGCAAACTCCCCGAAACAAAGAAATACCAGCGTCCGTGCCGTTCCGCCTGCTCTTCTTTCTTCCCAGTCTGTCCACGTCCTGAGTGTCTGCTCTCGTGCGTTAGCACCCGGCAGCCCGTGCACGGGCCATGGTATCACTCTGCAACGAGATGGTGGAAAACCCACCGTGAGGATACCGTGTAGGGCGTAGGGGCTTACTCTGTGTGTACCATGGCCTTGGGAACACTGCAGACGCCGATCCTCTGTTCTTTAAGTTTTATTTCAGGGGCTCAGGCTTCGTGTTACACTTGATGCTTTTAGTTCCCCCAACTGTACATAGAACGATAGTTATTCCGCCCCTAAACTTCCTGTGAAACTGTGAGCTTTCTGGCTGGATCTCGGACATTCTCATCCCAAGTTCCTCCGACCGAGAAGCCCCGACCGCTGGGAGTGGTGGGGGTCTTGAGCCCTCTGCCCCCAGCAGCGGGACCCCGGCATCCCAAGAGCCCCTGCAGGGCGCGGGGCTCCCGTAGAAACCGCAGCAGCTTCTCCCAGCGAGCTGCGCTGGCCATGTGCTGCTGCTGAGCCCACTGCCATCCTGGGCGGGGTCCTGCGCAGACACGCAGGCCCTGGCTTGTCTGTGCTTAGAATTTCCCACCCAGAGGTCAGCCGTGGTCACTAGCAGCGGGTTTTTCTTTCTTTCTTTCTTTTTTTTTTTTTTACATAGGTTGGGTCCAAATTAGAGTAAATCTTTGTTTTTACTTCCCATAGTTTAGTAACATGCAAAGTAATAATTATATATTTTAAAATGAGAAGTGTATCAGTCCTAAGTCGCCTGCTTATTACCAGAGTACAGATTTCAATATGGTTTTTCAAAGCTTCTGTAGGCCTTAAAGATGAATTACAAACTACTCTTTTTTTAAAACCATTTTCAAATCATTGCCAAGTCTTGCTAAGGTCATCGTGGTAATCTGCGTTATTTTTTAATGTATGTCAGCAATGGTAAAAATGATGCTTTGTTGTGCTGTTCTTGACCTTGTCGGAACCAATTTTTTAAATGTCTAACTTTACAATGGACTGAGCCTGGTTTGGCGTGCTTTTCGTGTTCAGAACGGAGGCCAGGGCGCCCCGCCAGCAACATGATGCCCGAGTCCCCGTGTCGATGCAGAATCCCCCTCCTCCCCGCCTTCACCGTCCAGGAAAGTAATGCTGTGTGATGGAGCCCCCGAAGGGTGAATCTTTGCCTCTGGGGAGCAGGCAGGTGGGGCAGGGCCAGGCGGGGGGGCCCTGGCCTCACTGGGTGTCCCAAGGCCACTCCTGACTGCCATTCCCTCCTTGCTGGACCTCACGTTCACTGCTAGTTGAAATGTACAGTAAAGGAGGTGACAGCGTTCTAGCTGTCGGACCTGCGCTGTGAGCACGCCCCCTCCTTTATCCCTCCTGCCCTTTGATGGGACCACCTGCCCCAGGGCATCGGGGCTGCGTCTGCCTGAATCGCAGGCACCTGTGAGCACTCTGGATTCCGGCACCAGAACAGCTAGAATCTCGGTCTTCCTTCTCTGCCCCCCAGCAGGTTGCTGCGGTCTCCGTGCACATGTCCCCATGGGACAGGGTTTCTGTAGGAACCCCCCACCCTAGCACCTGCCGGGGCCGGAAGGCGGGGAAGGAAGTTTGAGTGGGCAGAGGAGCGAGTGTGCAGGCCAGATGCTGCGAGTGGGGTCCTGGCTGTCTGAGTCTCATGGGAGCCGTGGGGCCCCCAGACGCCACTCTGCCCCCAGAGGGGCGTGGCCACCAAGCCCACCCTTGTTCATTCCGCACCAGCTCCCGCCGACCGGCTGCAGGTGATTTCTCTCATCCCGCCACTCCGTGAACTGTTTACATTAGGACTTCCTTCAGAGCCGGGTCCCGTGTGCTCAGAGGGAACACGTTAGGTGCCTGTGCCGGGTGGGCACTCAGAAGGACCCCCATCCCTGGGAGGGCAGCTCTGGGAGCCCAGGAGACCTCCCACTTCATTTCTGCCCCGAGGGTGCTGGTCAGGCTGGACCCTCAAAGCACAGTGACCCAAGTGCACACATGCGGCCAGGGAGCTGGTGCTGCGTGTGTGTGTGTGTGTGTGTGTGTGTCTGTGTGTGTGTGCTGCAGTCGCTTTGTGGCAGGGGCGGTCGGGTGGTCAGGGGGCCTTTGAGGGTGAAAAGTGTCAAGAACCTTGAGTGCTTGTTTATAGAGCCCCCTCCACCCCCCCTCACGCCCCCCCCCCACAGGTTGCAGAATCCAGCCCTGCACTTCCACCCTCTGCTGGCAGGGGGCGGGGCAGGCCCCAGCCTGGAGCTTGCACACATCGCCACCCCGTGGCGTAGTGCACGGGGCTCTAGTGCTAGTGACAGGCACTGGGCCTCGGGGTCTGTGTCCCAGGCTGGCCTCAGTGCTGCCCCATGGTGGCCAGGTTCCTAAAATCCCGGGCTTCTGGTGCATGAGTCTCCCCGTGGACTTCTGCAGGTGATTCTCGGTGCAGGACGTTTCCTGTCTTACTGAGGGGAGACTCTGACCAAAGCACAGGGTCTTAACAAACCACATTCCTGCCTGTCTTAAGAGGTCGTGCTCACAGACACCACCCACCACATGTTCCTTTGCTTAAGACGGAGTTTAAAGAGTTAACTTTAGTTCTGACTTCGAGAATATTTCCAAGCTTTGTATGAATGGAAAGTTCTTCCTAGAATTTTCTCTTTAAATTCTGGCAGAGTAAACAGCTGTTCTAGAAGCTTTCCTGCTGTCCCAGAAGAGCAGAGCCCTGTGCTCAGAGCAGGCCACTTGGTTCGGTCGCTGAACCCTGGCTGCAGATGAGCCCTGGGTGGGGCAGCCCCCACACCACGGTGGGCAAGTTTCCACCTTCTGCCTCCGGAAGCCCATTCTGGTGGGAAGAGACTTCCTGAAGCCCCTGACCACTCCCTGTCCCGGCCGTCCCTCGTTGCCCTGCAGGTGTCCTGGGGAGCCGGATGGCAAGGGTGCAGCAGAATGGGGCTGACGGTGAGGAGGGCCTACCACCCTCCGTCTGCTCCGCGGAGCCCGGCGGTCTGGGGAGGGAGCGGGGCGCACCCCACCCCCATACTGTTCCGAGCTGTGGGACAGGGCCTCTGGCTTCAGAGAGCCACTACATTTCGTTTCTCGTGCGGGACTCGGCTCCCGGCATGAGGGGTGAGTGCGGCGGGGCGGGGGAGAGGGGCAGAAAGGGAGAATTGGCGGGCTTGGCAGTGGCCTTCAGGACATCCCAAAGAGCACAGGTGGGGAGCGAAGGGTGCCTTGGTGCGCCCCGCAAAGCGTGTGGGCCTGTTGTCCTGACGGGTAGCACAGATGTTCCTGTTTGGGGAACTGAAAGTGAATTCCTAACGTACAACGTGTAGGCTCCAAGATGAAGAGTGTGTGGATGTTTTGAGTGCTTTTGGCTTCATAGCTGCGTACTTTCTGATGTCGAATTTTAGTTGGGATTCCAGCCAATGACTGCACGACTGGGCGGACAGGAGGGTTGAGGTGCTGACTCAGAGCCCAGCGGGTGCTGGCCTGGGCCTTCCTGGAAATTAACTCGGACTGTGGAGGCTGTGTGACCCCCTCGGGTCGGAGCACGTTGCCCCTGGGGCCCGGCTGCGGGGGAGGGCCAGGGGGTGGTTTCTCCAGTGCTGGGGTCTCCAGCCCTCCGTCCTGTGCACGTGTTTGTAAAGTCCCTGTCGGCGCTGTAGAGGCCGTGTCTGTGTGCTGGTCCTACTGACTTATGATTATCCGTAAATAAATCTTTTTCTGGCCATGGTGTTGAAGTGCAACGATTCCTCCCGCCTCAGGAACCCCCCGTTAATTATCCCCTGGTACCCGAAGCCCCTGCCACCAGCCAGCCAGCCCAGCAGTGCTGACTGCTGAAAAGCATGGGAGCTGAGGCCGTAAACACCTATGTCTTAAGGGAAAGAGATTGCCCAACCCACCCATGGTGGCCCAGGTCCCCTTGTCCCACCCACTCTGTTCTGTGCCCTGGGGGCTGGCCTCTAAGCTCCTCCTGCGGGCAGGGCTCCCAGGAGGGTGGGTTCCCTTTCTCAGGCCCCGCCCCCAGCCCCGCTAGAGTCCAAGGACCGGCCTCATCCCTGATGAATGTCACAGCTCCTGGGTTTCAATCCCTTCACACCTGGGTGGTGAAAGCCGGTCCTACAGGCCAGGCAGGTACTGTGCTCCCGTGCTGTGATTCACCCACACCTTTGTGAGCAGCTCCCCAGGCAGTCTCCAGAATGCCAGGCCCCTTGCCCTGGAAGGAAAAGCAGGAGAAGGGTAGGAGAGGACGAGGGATCTGCTTCATGTCTGGAACACCTTGAACTCCGCCTCTCCACCCCCCTGCTGACTCCTGTGCCCCTTAGCTGGCCCGCAAGGCCCTCCTGGTGGACGACCCTTTGTGGCCGCTGTGGCACGCTTCCACAAATGCAGCGACTTAAAGCGACTCTGGAGATCAGACTTGTACAAAAATAGGTGGGCGGGGCTGGGTCCTCTGGAAGGTCCCAGGGAGAATGTGCCCAGCCTCTTCCAGACTTCAGAGGGGCCCTCATGACTTCACAGCCGTGGTATGGCTTCAGTCTGACCCCGACCCCTGCCTCTTCTTCTGAGGACCCCGGGATGACATTGGGGCCCCAGAGAGTCCGAGATCACCTCTCCAGCTCAAGACCCTTAGCTTAATCACATCTGACAAGTCCCCTTGCCCTGTGAGACAACATCCACAGGCTCCAGGCACTGGGCCAGGGATATCCCGGGGGGACATTATTCAACCCACTGCCTCCTGTGATGGGGATGGGGGTGAAGCCCAGTGAGTCCCGACACGGTCACCTTTCCCTCTCTGACACTCTGCATGAGATGTCCAGCGGAGGACACACACGGCCATGAACCTCAACCATCAGGAGGATTCCTGCCGCAGACGTCCCCTGGGGAGGGCGGGAAGCCTGGCCTCAGGTGCAGGCCCCACCCTGGAGACCACACCGGCCGGGGCTCCCTCAGGCCGAGTTCCTGGAAGGGAGCCCGGGCCCCACCCTTGCACTAAGTGGTATGGGGGGAGGGGGTGCCCTCTCAAGGGGCCGGTAAGAACAGGAAAAGGGACAAGGCGGGGAGAAGATGCATGGCAGCGTGTGACCTAGCTGGCCAGGTGGTCAAGCGGGGGCATCTCTCCCGTCTTCTCCAATTGGTCGAAGTTCACCCCACAGGGGCGGGCACCCCTGGGTTTTTGAGGCGTGCTGCCTGGCCTCGGGCAGGTGTGGGCCCCACTGGGTCGGACGCTGGAGCAGAGCCGCTACGGGAGAGGCCAGGGCAGGTCGGGACGGACAGACGGACCTGCGTTATCTGGTCACTTTGTCAACTGCCTGCCCGGTGCCAGCCACTGGGGACTCCGTGCCCGTGGCCAGGTCGGGGGAGTGAATGACCGAGATATCCGCACCAGTAATCCAGGCTCACAGACCAACGTGCGGGGGAGCGCCAGCGGGAAGGGCGCAGGCCGTGTAGTCCCGAGAGGTCACCCGGGTGTCTGCGAAGGGCTTGTACCTGTTTGCATTCCCGGCCCGCATCCGGACGTTTGCCTGTGGGGCAGGACAGAGACCGGCACCCAACGTGGTTTCACTCTGCTCTTCTCATTGTGTGGACGTGTTACAGATTGTCGTGGCTGTTCAGGTCTTTGCCCATTTCACTATAGAATTTTTCATCCTCTGCCCCGCTTTTTTTTTGAGAGCGAGAGAGCGAGCGAGTGCGCATACAGGAGCGGGGGAGGGGGGCCCTTACTAAGCACTCCTCTTCCACTCACCCCCGAGTGTTGTGTTTCTCCAGGACCGAGAAGGCTGCTACAGGGACCGGTCCCACCGCTGGGAGTCAGACCCCAGTCCTCATGCTCCCCGGGTGGGACCAAGCACCCTCTCCCCGGGCCAGCAGGGGGGCACCTTCCCCCCCCCCCCCCCCCCCCCCCCCCCCCCCCCCGCTGCCCTCAGCTGAGGCTCCTCTCCTCCACCCGGGATTCTCGGCGAATGTCACTCTTCCCAAGGCCTGACCCCGCGCCCCTGCTCGGGCTGAACAGGTCAGTGCGCCGTGCATGCCCTGCTTCTGCCCTGGCAGAGCCTCCCCAGCTCAGAGCACACCCCGCAGCACCCGGTCTCGGAGTGCTCCCAGAACCCGGTGCCGGCACAGATCCAGCCAGCCGGCTCACAAGGGAGCAGACGCACGTTAGCCTAGAGATAGAGGAACAGATAACTGATGTCACTTGTGCACTGGACACAATCGTTGGTGTCACTAATCCGTCATTACCAGGCGGGGTGCCTCGGAGGCCCTAACGGAGCTGCCCGGAAATGGCATTAATGCACATTTTCTGTCCTTGCAAAAGCAGGGCCGTGGCTCCAACATACAAGGGTTGGAAAAAAAACTAGAATTCTAGGGGCGCCTGGGTGGCTCAGACGGCATCCGACTCTTGACTTCAGCCCAGATCATGATCTCATGGTTCGTGGAGTTCGAGCCCCGCACTGGGGCCTGCTTGGGGTTCTCTCTCTCTCTGCCCCTCCCCACTTGCTATTTCTCTCCAAATCCATAAGAAAAAATTTAAAAAATTAAAATTCTAGAGGAACGGGTGAGTTTCTCTACAGTCTGGGTCTGGAGACGGGCTTTTAATCTAGGACTCAAAACAAATTACAACTTGGAGAAAATATTTGTGACTTACTGAGGCACGACATTGCTAATGTATCAATAACTCTTAGAAGTGGGGGGAGGGGCACCTGGGTGGCTCAGCTGGTTAAGCCTCAAGACTCTCGATTTTTGGATCAGGTCGTGATCTCAACGTTCATGGGATTGAGCTCCGCGTCAGGCTCTGTGCTGACACTGTGGAGCCTGCTTGGGGTTCTCTCTCCTCTCTCTCTGTTAGGTCTGCATTTCAACCCCAAATTGCTTCACTACCAAGAACAAGAGCCTGTTGGGAAAGCTCTTCATTCTTCTAGTTCAAGAACGGAGATTGGGACACACACAGCTGGCATTAAGGTGTTCTTCTTGCCACTTAAATTTTTTTTTAATGTTTATTTATTTATTTTTAAAAAATTTTTTTTTTCAACGTTTATTTATTTTTGGGACAGAGAGAGACAGAGCATGAACGGGGGAGGGGCAGAGAGAGAGGGAGACACAGAATCGGAAACAGGCTCCAGGCTCTGAGCCATCAGCCCAGAGCCCGACGCGGGGCTCGAACTCACGGACCGCGAGATCGTGACCTGGCTGAAGTCGGACGCTCAACCGACTGCGCCACCCAGGCGCCCCAATGTTTATTTATTTTTGAGAGCAGAGGGAGGGGCAGAGAGAGAGGGAGACCCAGAATCGGCAGCAGGCTCCAGGCTCCGAGCGGTCAGCGCTGGGCCCGACGCGGGGTTCGAACCCACGAACCGTGAGATCACGACCTGAGCCGAAGTCGGACGCCCGACCGACTGACCCCCCGGGCGCCCCTCTTCTTGCCGCTTTCAAGCTGCTTGCTCACCCTGCGACCCTGGTGTGCTCTTCCTTCCCTCGCGATCCGGACAGCCCGCGCCTTGCACTGCCGACCCGGCACCAAGCGCCACACACCGCCGATGCAGAGTGATGTGGTGATTTGAGACCAACTGGAACCCTCGGGGATGGTTTACTGCCATGACCTGAACCACACAGACGTCTCAGCCCCTACTCTTGCAACGATGCGCGTGTGCTTTATTTGCAAAACAGACCCAGGGCAAACCACTGCACTGCCTTCGCTCATGGCGGGGACCCCGTGTCGAAAACCGGAGATGTGCCGTTGCCCAGATGCTCAGAGGCTAAGTTCAAGAACCCTTCCAGGTGGATGGTGCTCAGCGAGGCCTCACAACTATTCTACACGTACACGTACACCTATGGCGTCCTCTGCACACGCGTGTGTGTTTCTACTGGGGTGTAAGGGTGGTGTGTTGGTGCGTCTAAGTACATCCAGAGCTAATGCTCTAGAATCAGATTTGCCCAAAGCCTTTTATTTTATGGGGGAGACTAAGGCCTGGAGACAGGACACGGTCAAAGCTGAGCGTGGGGAGCTGTGGCTGGAGCACAGGCTCCTGGAGTCCTGGGTCTACCATCCACTTGCGGGGACCTTGAGCGACTCCCCCGGGAGGCAGCTCTGTAGGTAGAAGAGGTATCCGGCCAGCTCAGGCCAGTACGTGACCCAGGAGGGGCGCCACGTGGCACAGCGGTCACGTGGCCGTCAAACAACCATATTAGCACGCCACTCTCATGCTTCCTGACGCTTCTATACGGGACTGTGGTTTCCGACGAAGCCAAAAAAACCCAAGACGAAGGAATATATTTGCCAAGACTTAAAAATATGTATTTAAAAGAGAATATAAGCCTTCTTTGAAAGTAATTAAGATCGCTGGTTGGGTTGACTTTGTCTCTCCCAACGCAAGTCAGAAGAGCTGCGCAATACCCCCACCCCCACCCCCAGTGAAGAAATGGCACCCGTTTATGACCCCAGACGTGTCCACAGAGGACAGAACCACACAGACGGGCCATGTTCAGAGCGGGAACTAGAAATACGCCAGTTCGTCGTGCCTGGCTTTGTGGGTCTGATAGCTGGACAAGGCCAAGGGTTTGTTTTCGTGCGGAAGACTCTGAAACACTCGAATGTGCACAAACTCATCATCATCGACTTGAACCTGGAGACGGACAGAGAGGAGAGAGGCCAGTGAGGGGCAGGCCGGAGGACCTCTGACCCCAAGTGCCCCTGCCGGACCAGCCTGCATGAGGAGGGCCCCGGAGAGGGGCGGGGTCCT